AAAATTTAGGAAAGGCCACACCAGTTCAAGTTACAAATCAGCCAAGTTAGCATAATCTGAAGCAGATAAGGTAACCTGTTTCCTCTCCCCGTGAGGCCTGACACCCTCCCAGGCAGGGGCAGACTGATCTTTACATCACAGCAGGTGAGTGCCTCTGGCGAAGGGGTAGACAGGCACAGATGGGTCTATGTGTGGTCCTTTGTGGCCTTCTGGAAACCTCTCTGTAAACCCGTGGTTGGCGGGTGACCTTGGAAGCTCTCGGGCTTCTGCTGCTCTGTTGGATGCAGACAGGAGGGAGGCAGCAGGGCAGGAGCAATGTAGTGAAGGGAATAAATGGGCCCCAGATCAGAGGAAGAAGGCAGCCCCAGGACCAGGGACAGAGGTACCAGGAGAAGGGAGGAGTTCAGTTTGGGGTGCACTGAGAACAAGTAAGCCACACGCATAGGGAAGCACTGGAGAGGAAGGTCATCAGAGAGAGGAGTCAGGCCCAGGCCCAGGGTGGAGGTGAGGGCAAGAGCACAAGAGTACCTAGCGAGAAGGTCACTCCCACCAATCAAAGTGCCAGACTCCTGAAGAAGGGGGGTCACACAGCCAGCACTAAGAAGACGGTGCCAGGCCTCATGCTGCCTGAGATAGCTGCAGGTTCCCAGCCTGTCTGAGCCTTAGTTCCTCATTTGTAAAATGAGATGGTGATGGTACCTGCATCACAGGACGGCAGTGAAGACTAGATGAGGAGCAGCGCCGAGGAGCTCAGCCCTGGGCCTAGCACGTATCACTCAGGCCAACACCCACCTCAGAACCCACCTCAGAACCTGGCATCGGACAGAGAGAAGGCAAACCCCAATAAATCGCCCAGAAAACGGGCAAATGCCAGACATGAGAACCCAACCAAGTACAGCGGGAGAGAGGAACTGGGAGGGATTGTGAGGTACCCGTCAGAATGGGGATGCTGCATACAGGCTGCTCCTTCATTTAGAACACACATCTAGTTAGTGCCTCTTGTGTGCAGATCCCATGCTACTGTTGAGGACCCAGATGAGACACCAGGGTGTACAGGCCAGAGGCACGTCTGACTCAGGAAAACGGTATGGAAAAGTGTTTGAAGACACCAAATACTCTGAAATTTGAACTCAGGACTAAAACCCACTTGCAGCCTGGTGAAAAGAGACGTTTGGAATTGTCTAGTGAAAAGCCATGGAGCTGGGGGACAGGGCGCGCTCAGGCCCAGCTGCTGGGTCGCTGACATGGACCATAGACCACACTCTGGCACCATAGGGGTGTAGGCACACAGCATCCTCCTCCCACAGGCACAGTACTAACATAGAAATAACCCGTAGGGCCCTAGCCAGTTTGCTCAGTGGATAGAGCATCAGCTTGCGGACTAAAGAGTCCTAGGTTTGATTCTGGTCAAGGGAATATGCCCGGGTTGTGGGCTCAATCCCCAGTGGGGGGCATGCAGGAGGCAGCCAATTGATGATTCTCTCTGAGAGAGAAAGAGAGAGAGAGAAAGAGAGAAAGAAAGAAGAACCAGCAGGCCCAAATATTACTGGCAGACCTCAGCGCTTGCCCGACTTTATCCATACCTGCCACAACTGTCTCACTCCTCCTGCTCATCGGACCTCCTTCTTCCCTCTCTGCGTGCCCCGGACTCAAAGGACATGAGCATCCTATATACTCAGCACCTCCCACCAATACTGACCCCCTGATGAGCAAACAGAGAGAGATGGAGTTATTCCTATTTTCAAGTCTTTCAAGATGCAGTCATATCAACTATATCGCATCTTATTGACCCTCAACATAGAGATCCATGAGAGCGAAGGCGCAGAGGACACAACTGTCTTGATCAGGACCTTCACCACCCTAGATAATAGGGGTGGCCTATGCACCAGGGTGCACCCAGCATACTGCCTTGGGGACCCACAGCCTTGGAGCAGAGTCACTCAGGAATAGAAGCTGCTCACGGAACACTCTACTTTCCTGCCAGCTTCCACAACGCAGACTCCTTGTCGCTTATGCTCTGGAGCGTATTTCCCCAGCAGATGGCCTGGTAGAACCTCTATGCAAAGTGTTCTGCTCTCTCCAAGGAGAGCACAGACTCTCCCTTAAAATTGCTGCTATGTATTAAGAAAAAAGTAAACCACCTGAGAAGGTTTCCAATTCTACGGAAACTTATAAGCACAGTGCACATTAGCATCCCCAGAGTCCAAGAGCCACTGTGGGCTCCCGCAAGGGTTGGCATGTTGGCACACAGGGCTCATCACTACTTCAGGTGCCTGTGCAGGAAAAGACTGTCTTGATGACTCACATGTTTATGAAGCTGGTGAGAGCGACGTGCACTCACATACATGTCTGAGGAACAAGCTAGACAAGACTTCAATGTGGGTAAATCATCTGGGTGGCCCAAGGAAGAGGGTTTACACCCCTGTCACAGGCCATGTGTCATCTGCTCCTAGACAGAAGAACCATAAACGTTTAGGCTAAAAACAAAAAGCCTAGAAACATGCTGAGGGCTTTTAGCAACAAAGGGGGAAAAGAAACACATGTATATCCTTTGTAAGAGGATCAGAAATAAAAAAACAACAACGCTCCTGAATATTACAACTTTTTCAAAGGAGAAATTCCCATGATGCTGAATCCTGAGAACCAGCGGCTCCAGAGCTTCCAAAACTCCCAACAGTCTCCTTTAGGAAGCCTTCAGGGGAGCAGAAAGGAGTACGCTGAGGCCACCAACTTCACCCTGATAAGAACAGTAGGCCTTGGGGTGAGCCAGTGCACTGACCACAAAGACCCACTGCGCATGTCTTCACTTCTAGGACCCTAGAAACAGGGGACAGGTACTCTGCCTTCTCTGCTCAACGCTATGGGGGACCCACAGCAACCTATGTGTGCCCTGGCCCTAACAGCACATAGAACCTGTCTAAAAGTGGGCTTTCTTCTTGTTTTCTGGCAGATGGCCCTACACTGGACCAAACATCTTGCTACCTCAGGCAGGCCTCCACAGTGAGCATGTCATAGGAAATGTGGCAATGCCCTGCAATTTGACAGCGGGGACAGAAGGCAGTTCCCATCTCTCCAGCTAGTGGCTCTGTGTTCTCTGAATGCTCACTGCACCGGCTACAGTACCTGACGGTGGAGCTAAGTTGACCCTCAGAAGTGCAAACCTATGTCCCAGGAAAATACTGCTACCCCTAATGAAGCCCAAAGCCTCCCACACTCTTCTCATATACTACCAGCAGCCCAGGCGCAGGGCTCCAGGAAGCAACACTACGAATGGAAAAGCAACTCAACAGTAGCTGCCAAGTGTCCGTTAAGGTGGCAGTGGCTGGTGAAGGGGCCTGCTAAAGCCCCAACGAAGGCCCTCCCTCTCCCACCCCGGTCGGGCCTCACACTTTTCCTCCCTCACCTAAAAACACACCCAGAGTTCCTCCTTTCTTGCCCTTCCAGGTGTCTCCTCTGGGGCTGAGAGCATGTGCTTTGGAGGTGGCACAGCATGAATCCGGCAGGGCTGCCCACTGCTGAAGCTGCTACAGCAAGAAGGGCATTCAGCCGGTCCAGGTAACCCAATCTTGACAAGTCCTAAATCGAAAGGGTGGGAAAAGCTGGGTCCACACTCTCAGCTGCGCACAGGCAAGCAATTTAGCAAAGAGCAAATGCTCAGAGCAGTCAGACAGGCTGACAAGAGCCCAAGAAATAAAGCAATAAAAAGTGTGGAGCGCAAGGACTTGAAGTAAAATTAGTTAGACAAGACAGAACTTCCTGAAGCACAAAAGGTCCTTGAAGAGACTAGATGATGACATACGCTAAGCAGAGTCCCTGGTTCTCCTAGGGAAACACCCTGTGTGGCCTGGGACAAGGCCCCCACTGCAGAGGTGGAACTGGCTACACTGCTTCTTGGCCAAAATAACTTTGCTAAACACATAAATTAAGGGGAGCTCAGACAAGTGCTGGTGATGTGTGTTTTAGTCACGCAACCAGAAATTTTAAAAGAAAATTTAATAATGCATTTTATTGTGCAACAAGGTGTTGATTCCCTGAGCACTGAGTAAACACTTCAAGGGAAAAGCCTGCCTTTGAGTCCCACCCGTTCCTCCCCGCCCCTGCACACACCCCACAGAGTTGTGAGAAAACCCTGGCCATACCCCGCACGCCTTGTCATAGGTTCTCCACCGGGACCTCATGAGAGCCCCACTACTGGATGCGCCCCCCTTACATCCTTCCTCCAGCTCCTGCACATTTCTTTCACACACTTCCTAGGTCAGTTGCCACCCAGCAGCAACAAAGCTACTCGGTCGTGAAAGCCCTTCTCCAAAGGCTCACAGCAAAATCTCGGCCTCCCATTAAGCCCTCTTAGCCTCTAAAAGGGCCTCAAGCTGACACTTAAAGGTGCCAAGCTGTAAGCTCAGTATCCAGCTGCTTTCTCCCCGCCTCCGGCCTCCATTAGAGTTGAAAACGGTGAGAAAGAAAACAGATTGCAAATTGCCACAGGCCTGCTCCTTGCCAGAGAGTGTTAGGCTTTAACCACAGTGAAGAGATGAAGAAAGGCAAGGCGCGGATCCCTGCCTCCTAATTGCAGTCTAACCGGGTAGGGCAAATGGCTGGCTGGCGCAGTTCTCATTACAGACCCTACGTGACAGGAGGTGGCAGATCAAGTCCGCCTCCCAGGCCAGCTAACTGCTGTGGGGACTGCGTGGTGCTCACGCCGCCTCCAAGCAGCACTGGGCCCAGCAGGGCGAGCCCTGCCGAGTACCCTAAGCCCCTGCCGGGAGGGGACACGGAGCGGTTCCCCGAGGACAGGCCAGCCTCATCAATCTCCTTGATCCATCGGTCAATGCCATCAAAGGACCAGCGGTTGGTGATATCATATACCAGGAGGATCCCCTGTGCGCCTCTGGAGTAGGACCTGAAGATGGTGCAGAACCTGCCTTGGCCCGACGTGTCCCAGAGCTCCAGCTTGACCCTCCGGCCATCCAGCAGGATGGTAGTCGTCTTGTAGTCGATCCCGTTGCTGTAGGCGTAAGGGGACTCGGCCGCGCCGTCCTGTAGGCTCTCCAGGATCTCGCCCTTGCCCACATCGCTGTCGCCCACCAGCAGGAACTTGAGGAGGTAGTCGTAGCTTTTGACCGGACTGCCCTGCGTCCCCATTCTCGCTCACGCGCGCGCAGGCCGCGCCCGCATGCCCACGGCGCCGGCCGCGGGAGCACGGCGGGGAGGAGGCCTTCGACAGATCTGCGGGGGTCGGGC